GCCGGAGCCGTCAGGATGATTGTCGGACCGTTGGCTAAACTTAAATGCTGTCGAGTCATCGGAAGCACTGGATCAGATTAGAAGGTACATGTAATTCACTCAGTTTTTCAGAACAAAAAATTACATTGACCATTTTTGTTTTTGTTAAGCTGTCGAGTCATCGGAAGCACCGGATCATATGAGAAGCTACCAACAATTGGTTATCGGTGGTGATGGGTCTAATTTGAGAGAGAGGGGGTAAAAGTTCGAGAGAGAGAGTGAAGAAGAAGAAAGAGAAGATCATGGGTATTTTTATACTTTCATAATAATAAATATCAATTTTTAATTTAATATTAAATTATAAGGTTGGTTTTGTCATTTCACAACTTAATAAAGTGGTAGGGCTACAACTCGGGCGGGTTGGGCGGGTTTGAAGTATAACTTGAGCCCAACCCACCATATGAAATACTAAGCCCAATGTCACGCCCCGCCTATGGAGGTTGTGCCACGCAGGCGACACGCAGACGCTGAGGAGGATGCTGCATGGCAACTGCATGGCGAGTGGAGTTTCTAGAGTCTTCCAGAGTTGTCTAGAGTTGTGTGAAAGATTCTAGATATGTGTAGTATATTCTAGAATTCTCCAGAATTGTGTGGAGTAGTATGAAGAGTTCTAGAATGTTGTAGGTACTAGTACATAAGTATGGAAGTGTGAAAAAGGTGGGAAAAGATTCTAAAGAATCGATCTCCACCGTTGGTTAGAATGCATCCTAGCCATTTATTAGGGATGGGGAAGCCTATAAATAGGAGTAGGACTTCATTTTGGTAGCCAACAAGTCCTAGAGTGAGTCTTGAGAGCCTTGTAGAGAGCTTGAGTGCTAGTCTTGTACAAAGCATTCCTTGAAGTAATAGAAGTGTTCTTTCCTTGCCAACTTAAGTGCCTTAGTGTGTGTGGAATTGCAAGCCAAATGGGGAGAGGGCGAGGGCCACTACAACACTAGTAAGCGCACGAGGGGAGTGTGTTGGCTAAGGTGTGCACGGGAGTTAGGCTGACCAAGTACTTACGAGAGTGGAAGTAACGTCTTGGTGCCGCACGGGAGCAGCTAGAGTGGTGCTGAAACTCTAAGCCCGTGACAGTTGGTATCAGAGCAGGTTCGTCAAGGGTGCTTTGTTGGAGTAGACATGGCTAGCAAAGGAGACCACCAAGTCCACGTCTTAGAGCAGAGCTTGGAGGAGAAGCTTGCCACACACTTGGTCTACACGGAGACAGAGTTTAACAGGCTCGAGAGAAAGATGGCGGAGCTCTATGAGCTTATTGATGGCATCGCCAACAAAACGCAAGAAAAGGAAAGGGACTTACATGATCGTGTAGACGACTTGCGCATGGAGATCGCTGAGTGCAAGAAGGAGTTTTCCCAGGCGCGCGAGGTCGTGGTGAAGCCAAGGAAGAAGAAGGTGCCGGAGCTCAAGGAGTATGATGGGGCAAGGAATGCACGCCAGATTGACAACTTCTTCTGGCACATAGAGCGGTACTTTGAGTGCATAGAAATCGAGGACGATGAGGAGAAGGTGTAGACAGGTACTATATACCTTACGGACACTGCCGCTCTATGGTGGAGGTAGCGCTTCACCGGTAGGGCGCAAGAGCAATTGACACATGGGAGGAGTTCAAGAGGCAGCTCAAGAGGCAGTTCTACCCTGAGTGCGTCGAGGACCTCGCCATGATCAACCTAAGGCGCCTGAAGCAAAAGGGCAGCATAAGGGAGTATGTGAAGGAGTACTCCAACTTGATGCTGGAGATCCCAGAGATACCGGAGCGGCAACGCGTGTGCTTGTTCATTGATGGGTTGCAGTCTTAGATAGCCACAAAGCTAAGAATGAGGGAGCCTAGAGACTTGGCGTCCGCAATGGCTATAGCGGAGCGCCTTGAAAACTTTAGGCGCAATGACAAGAGGGCCACGTCTCCCAGGAGAGACCACGGCAAAGGTGGGGGAAACCGGCGTTTCAAGAAAGGGGGCTCGCCCAAGTCTAGTGATGATGAGCACAGTGATGAGGAGATATGCCCACGCCATAATAAGGGCAAGGACCATGAAGAGAGGTCCAAGGCTAGTGGCAAAGGGGAGCACCGCGACAAGGGCAAATGGAAGCTGAAGTGCTACTTGTGCAAAGGGCCGCCTATATTACGACATTGTCCCAACAAGAAGATCATGAGTGCCCTTGTGAAAGATAAGGGCAAGGGCAAGGTGGACGATGCGGGCAGCGACGAAGACAAGTGCATAGAGGCTATGCAGATGCTGAGTAGCATGGCGCATGACACCAAGAAGAAGGGCAAGGCAAAGAAGGTAGCCGCGGTGCGCTATGTGGATGGGCAGGTGGGTGGCAAGGCCGTGCAAGCGTTGGTGGATACGGGCGCCACACACAACTTCATTACCCCGAAGGAGGCGCAACGACTTGGCTTGGAGATGCGCATGACGGAGGGTTGGATCAAGGCCGTCAACTCCGAAGAGGCACGCGTGAGTAGAGTGTGCAAGGAGGTGGAGCTATGCATGCAAGGATGGAAGGGCAAGGCCGACTTCCAGGTTACGGAGATGGACGATCACGACATGGTGCTGGGACTGGAGTTCATGGACAGGAACAACGTCGCACCATTACCATGCTTTGGTGCGTTGATGATACTTGGAGGCGAGGAAGGCAAGGCCGCATGCATGGTGCCGCTCGTGGGCAGGAAGGAGAGAGGTGGCAGTCAACACGATGGAGCTCGTGAAGACCTCACACCTCCCGAAGGGCGCGCGTATGTTTGGGCCAAGGTCATATGCGCAAGTGCTGATGACCTGCGAGAGGCTGGCCAGCTGAAGAAACCGTGACGAGGGCGTCACGGAAATGAGTGGGGGAAAATGTCACGTCCCGCCTGTGGAGGTTGTGCTACGCAAGCGACACGCAAACGCTGAGGAGGATGCTGCATGGCGAGTGGAGTTTCTAGAGTCTTTCAGAGTTGTCTAGAGTTGTGTGGAAAATTCTAGATATGTGTAGTATATTCTAGAGTTCTCCAGAATTGTGTGAAGTAGTATGAAAAGTTCTAGAATGTTGTAGATACTAATAAATAAGTATGGAAGTGTGAAAAAGGTGGGAGAAGATTCTAGAGAATCGATCTCTACCGTTGGTTAGAATGTATCCTAGCCATCCATTAGGGATGGGGATGCCTATAAATAGGAGTAAGACTTCATTTTGTAGCCAACAAGTCCTAGAGTGATCCCTTGTAGAGAACTTGAGTGCTAGCCTTGTACAAAGCATTCTTTGAAGTAATAGAAGTGTTCTTTCCTTGCCAACTTAAGTGCCTTAGTGTGTGTGAATGTGCAAGCCAAGTGAGGAGAGGGCAAGGGCCATTACAACACTAGTAAGCACACGAGGGGAGTGTGTTGGCTAAGGTGTGCACGGGAGTTACGCTGACCAAGTACTTGCGAGAGTGGAAGCAACGTCTTGGTGCCGCACGGGAGCAGCTAGAGTGGTGCTGAAACTCTAAGCCCGTGACACCAAGTTCAACCCTAACCCTATCATCAACCTTAATTATTCAACCCGAACCCAACACATCCTTATACTTTTAAATTCAGGCTTGTAACTCGAAGTTAGATTCCGGGTTAAAATTTCGGATTAATTCAGATTACTCATATGACTAATCTTTATGTCGAAAATTTAACATGATCTTAAATTAGTTTTAGAATAAATTACTCTTAGACAAGAAGAAATTTAAAGACTTTTTTGTAAATTTTTAATAAATTATAAACAGATTTTTAAAAAATTAATTTTCCTAAATGTTAACATACAATAAGTTAAGATTTAATAAATAAAAAAAAAATTAAAAAGAAAAAAAGAATCATAGTTTAAATATTATATATAATATATTTAAAATTAAAAATAATATTAGAATTCAGGTTCGGGTTAGTTCGGGTTTCTAGCATTCAACACAAGCCCAACCCTAATTAAATTCAGGTTAAGATTTTTTAACCCAAGCCCAACCCTAATTATAAAAATAATTACCCAAGCCTGTAAAAAATCAGGTTGAATTCGGGGTTGGGTTCAAGTTACCCAACCCAAGTTGTACACCTAATGTGTGGTAACTTGATAGCATTTTTTTTAGTTCTTGAGATGTTTAATGGAGTTTTTGATGCACGAAAATAATAATAGGCGGGAGTTATCTGATTTTTACCAAAAAAAAAATTAAAAGTGGCACGCTTACCAAAAGTATTACAAATATGACTACCATGACAGAAATACCCCTCAATAACTTTTTCTTATTTTTCCCCAATTCCCCTCAATCTCATCCTGTCTCCATCCACCTCACCCCCCCTCTCTCTCTCCACTCACTCTCTCTCTCTCTATACATGCCCTGCCGCTGCCGCTGCCATCAGTGTTGCTGCCGCCCGTTGACCTCCACCTGCACACCCACCACCGCCGTCTACCATCACCGCCCTGCTATCGCCGCTCCCTTTAACATTGACTTCTCCGGAGACGAGGACTCCCTTCGGCAACATACACGAAACCCATGACAGCTTCTGGGTTGATGGGTTTGTTGAGAAGGGTAATGGGTGTCTCAAGTTGGGGTGAGATTATACTGGGTGGCCATGGAGACTGGTCGATTGTTGTTGTTGGCCTTGGACCCTAATTTGAGGTCTGCAATTCTGAAACGCTATTTCGATTCTCTAATTCAAACATCTAATTTTGTGAATCAATTGATGGGTTTAAAGATGTATATAAACACCCATTTATATATATGGATGGTGATAGTTGGTTGACGTGGTGGCGGCCGGTGGGGAACACGGTGCGGTGGGAACATGGTGGCGATTTCTTTTTCTTTGTGCTGCAATTACAATATATATTATACACATAACAAACACTACTGAGTACCGGCATGGTATTTAAAATGGAGGGATATGCTAGATGGTTCATTAGTGCTTATTGTCAATTTAATTAGAAGAAATGAAATTAAAATTAATAAAAAGAAAAGGAAGGGAAGAAGAACCAAAAGCTTAAACCAAGCACACCACATAAGGTAATAAATAAATAAATAAAAATTTACACCACAGAAGCACAATCCTTTTATTACAAAAGTTTACCACTATTATTTTGCAGTAGTTTTCACTTATAAATTTTTGGACAGACAAGACAACAAACAATAATATGCAGCAATAAACTTAGGGGAACTTGATTAAACATCAAGCATAAGAAAGAAGTTCAATAAGGAAATTATTGAACACGCCGGGGTATGGTACTCGGGATAGTGAGGGCCATTGGAATATGGATGTGTCCCACCTTGTTCAAGGGTTGGAATGCCCTGGGTACCATACCGGTATTCCATAATTTTTCTTCAATAAGAGGCCTGCCGCGCGAAGACATGTAATTTCCCTCTAGCAGCGAATAATAAAACCGGAATTGATAGGGCGAGCAGAGGTAACGCTTCAGCTGCTGATATTTCCGTTATCACGCACGCGTATGATCCAAAGAGAGTAGAAACTGAGATTTGTGGCCACGGTTTCAGTGGAAATTCGTACAGGAGGAATATGATAATGGAGAGCGACGCAACAAAACCAATGGTGTTGAACAATATGAATGAGCCTGCTAGTATTGAATCTTGTTTTTTCATTTGGAGGGTGCCATTTGGGTCATAATTATATGTGTATCCCTGTTTGAGAGTGCCAACAGGGTGACTAAGGACTGCTTGGAAGGTTATTGTTGCCACCAGTGTGGCCGTCATTAACAACACAATACGCGCATAATCTTTTCTTGATTTGGAGACGGTCATCACTGTTTTAGGCCATGGCTGGTGAGTCCCCATTCTACAATCATAGACATCATCATGCTTCCGGCCACAAACTAGAAGATCTCTGGCATTCAAAGCTCCAGCTCGACGAAGGATCTTATCAATTTCCATATCTATCTTCCCTCCATATGGAAGAACGTCTAGGATGTCCAGAGCGGTGAAACCGCGAGAGTTCAATGCGTTCACCTCCACTAAATTGCTAATGTTTGGATCAGAAGTGAGCAATACTTTTAAAGTCTGCATTAAAGAAAAGTTGAATAAATTACAAACAACAAAGGAGTACTATATAACAAGCAAGAATATCCAATTTGGGCAAAAATATCCTAGTAGCATTCAGATTCACAGAAAATTGAAAACAAATGACTGTAGTATGTTAGTTAAAGAAAAAATAAAAGCGCAGATGGAAATATAGGTGGAGAAGAATGAATTGCCTGTAGTTGTTTTCTTGATGTAGCTAAGTGCAAAACCGTATTTCCAGCTTGATCTCGGACATTAACTAGTTTGACATAGTCAATACTTCTTTTCCCTAGCCATTTCACCAGGTAATGAACCACCTTCCCCTTGTTATAGATGACGGCCGTATGAAGACACGTCTTCCCTGTTGCATTCACCTCTTTCACAGATTCAGGGCAACCCCTCAGCAATTCCTTCAGCGTGTCTACTCTGCCTTCCCTTGCCGCGATGTGAAGAGGTGTTCCTCCATATTTGTCCCTGAAACAACTCTTTGCATAACTATACGACGTGATTTCATAATTATGATGTATGACTGGATCTTTCACTTTCACTATCTCCGGGTGGAACAACCGGAGGTATATTATTTTGTAAAGCCAACTGTAAGACATATCTCCCCTAGCTTAAACACTCCCAACACCAAACACAAAATCGATTCCGCGTGGTGTACCTGGACCGTCTTTCTTTCTTTCTTTTGTTTCTTTGTATATTGAACTATTGGGAGAAAATAAATCGATGTGACGTTGTTGATGGGGACTAGATTATTATTTTCTTTTTAGTAAATCTGGGAAAGTAAACCCACGTGGCACACTAATAATCCTTGAGCGTGACTTCTACCCGTTCGGTGTTTGAAAATTGTATTACGGAAATTTGAGAGTTTGTAGTCATCCTTTGGCGTGACTTCCATATTTTAATTTTGATTTTGATGTTTTCGGAAATATCGTTTAGTTAATTAAAAATCTATAGACAATGTTACTTCCAAATTGAAAATTAGGACTGATTAAGCCTATCTTCATGGTTCCCCATATCTTTTAAACTCAGTCTGTGACCATCCACCTTCCGCAATGTCTAATTGGTGTCTAAAGCATGACGAGCCTCCCCTGCTCATGAATTATACTTTCTTTTCGGTTAGTCATGAATAACACAACCTTCCTTCCTCATAATTTATTTTTTTTTTGATAAATCTTGCTGATGAATTATACTTTTCTTTCTCAATTGTTAACGGTCCAACTTTAGTCCATTCCTATAGATTTGAATCATATCTAGAATGTCACTCAATGAATTTTACAATCATATTTGTAACTTATTAAGAGTCGAGACGAATTTTCAATTACAATTTTTTTTAAGAAAAGCAAGTTCAGGAATATACAAAGGCACTTCTCTCACTTTTAATTATAAGCATCGTCGTGTTTTTGAAGGAAATTTTCCTGAAGCAATGTAACTTTGTATATCCTTTTTCGGAATATATATATATATATATATATGCATGTGTGTGCGAATCCTTTAGTCTGCCATATATATATATATGTATGCATGTGTGTGCGAATCCTTTAGTCTGCCACAAAAAAAAAAAAAATAAAAAATAAAAAAATAAAAATTCTACTGTAAATGCTACTGGAATTTGCCCATATCTTCTGTCCAGACTCGATTTTTATTTTCAGTCTGACTTAGTCTCGTGATTTTCATAAAATACACATGGTAGTAAGGTTGGGATTCAATTTTTTATTGAGATATTTTATCAAAAGCAAGTTTGAATAATCACGGCATCTATCATTACTTCAATTAGTTGTTGGGTGATGTTGATGTAATGGACAAATAAGAAACCATTGTTATAATAAAATAAGAAAGCTTATGAATTATGAAATTCTTTTTCTTATCTATGGCTTTCATCTACCAAATTCCTTAAACTGGAAGTGGCTGGAGTAAAATCGTTGGCCCTAAAAGTAGATTGACAAAGTAAAGTTCTTGAATTGCCCTTACTCTGTTCTGTTGTTTAGCTCTAGTTTGGTAATATAATTTTATTTAGGAATAAAATACAAAAAAAAAAAAAAAAAAAAAAAAAACCTGAAGTTCTTGAATGGAGGTGGTCTTATATTCAATTAACATGACCCAGAGTGCTTTTTTTTTTTTTTTTTCCTTCTTATTTTTAAGTTCAAGCAAATATCTTATTTTCTTGAATAAATGCCATATAATGAAGTTTGGATAGCCCGCTAGAACCTGGTTTTTAGCTTCAACCCCACCTAGTTTGTTGATTTTCCTTAAAACCTGGTTTTTTTGCTTCAATACCACCTGGTTTTTAGTTTGATGGTTTTTAACTTCAATCACACCTAGTTTGATGATTTTTTTATTGAGATTTTTTAGAATTTTTTTTACCAAATTGTGAGGAATCACGGCATTCACCACGATTTTAATTAGTTGTTGGTGATGTTGATATAATAGGTGTATTAATATGTATAACGAAATATGACATACATTGTTTTAAATTTAAGGGTTCATCCAATAAAAAAACAAAGCTTGTGAATTATGAAATTTCATTTATGACTTTGGGTTTTAATTAATTGTTCAATGATGTTAATATAAGAGAAAGAGACGACGAAATATGATTAAAAAAAAAAATGTTTAAAAATTAAGGGTTGTTGCGATGAAGATTGTAAATTATGAAATTTTTATTCTTATCTATGACTTTGAGGAGTTGAAAATTAAGGGTTGTTGCAATAAAGCTTGTGAATTATGAAATCTCCGTTCTTATCTATGACTTTGAAAAACTACAGCATCAATAAGAGGTTTTAATTAATTGTTCAATAATGTTGATATAAAAGGAAGATATGACCAAGCATGACCTATAATGTTTAAAAATTGAGGGCTATTGCAGTACAGCTTGTGAATTATGAAATCTTCATTCTTATCTATGACTTTGAGGAACCACGGCATCGACAAGCTTTAATTAGTAGTTTAATAATATTGATATCAAAGAGAGATATGACAAAATATGACATACAATGTTTGAAAATTGAGGGTTGATGTGATAAAACTTGTGAATTATGAAAATTTTCTTCTTATCTATGACTTTGAGGAATCACTGCATTAACGAAACTTTAATTAATTATTCAATGATGTTGATATGAAAGAGACATGAGGAAGTATGACATACAATGTTTGAAAATTAAGAATTAATGTGATAAAGCTTGTGAATTGTAAAATCCTTATACTTACTTGAATCACGGCATCAATCATGAACTTTAATTAATCATTTGGTGACATTGATATAAGAGATATACAACAAAATAATCCCTATTACTATCTATGAGTTTTACCAAGCAAACTCCCTGAACTGGGAATGGCAGAAGTAAAATGATCAGCCCCGCATGTAGATTGACAAAGCTCTTGAATGAATGTCTTATATTCGAGTAACATGAACCACAGTACTTTTTCTAATTTTTTTTTTTTTTTTATCTATGACTTTGAGTGGCTGAAAATTAAGAGTTGTTGCGATAAACCTCGTATATTATGAAATTTTCATTCTTATGGATCACAAGCTTTAATTAGTTGTTCAATAATGTTAATATAAAATAGAGATATGACAAAGCATGACATACAATGTTTGAAAATTGAGGACTGTTGCGATATAGCTTGTGAATTATGAAATCTTTTTTCTTATCTATGACTTTGAGGAACTACAATCATAGACTTTAATTAATTTTTCAATAATGTTGATAAAAAAAAAGATATATGACAAAACATAACATCCAACTTGATTAGACATGTCCAGATGCTAAATCTCTTGATAGAATCTCGGATACCACTGTTCTAATCAAGTCGGATGTATGAACCATACTTTCTCTTTGAATATATATATATATATATATATTTAAGATTAAGCATGACATGCAATGCTTAAAAATTTAGAATACAATATAAGATTCCAACACGCAACTTATTTTTTAAAAATAAGATGGCTAATGCTCATTGGTGATATATTTCTTCATGTTTGAAATATAATTTGAATAAATGTCCTATTTGGGATGTCTCTACAAGTTTGAAAGCGCGTAGGGAGTAGTTTTTATAATAAAGCACGCAACCTGTCCCTTTGCAACATGGATTATTTATGCCTCGATTTTAAAAAACAGGATCAGAAAAGTAGGGCCACTTCGAACCGTCATTTTGCAATGTGGGTCTTTATCAAAAAAATAAAAAATAAATAACAATAATAAATAATAATAATAATTTTAAAGATTTACAAAATACATAATACAAATTTTTTTCTTTTTGATAATTGTAAACCTGAATATTTTTCACCAAGGATGCCGTATTCATACTTCTTCTTTAAAGTATAATGTTACTGTTTTGATTTTAAATAAATAAACAAATAATGCCGGTTCATCATTATACGCCACTCATAACAACTTTTATGAATGCTCTCTTAAATACTATTTCAAAATAAGTATTTTTAAAAAAATTTAACTTTTTAAGAAAATAATTTTTATTATTTTTTTATTACATTAGTAGTGAAAATGAATTACAAAATATATTCCTAGTGAGTTCGATTTATTTTGATAATTTTAATGCCAAAAAGTTAAATTGATAATATTATAAAAAAATAATATATTGATTTTGAGACTAATGAAGTAGTATATACTATTCATTCACAGGCTCGTAGCATCAAATTCATATTTAAACAGTAATGTAATAAATATAAAAAATAAATAAATTATATCAAAATAGCTTGAAATAAAATTATAGGAGTTAGTAGTGAGAGGTAAAGGTTGTTTTCTTTAGAATTAGTCTATCTGAAATAAATAAATTTCAATACAAAATTTTATTCTCATTTTATTCCCTTTCAAAGAATTAAAGTTGCTCTCCGATTTCCGCGTCATTTACTTGTAGAGTTCATTAATCACCCAATAAAATAGTTTATCCGGACTTTCTCTTGAACGCACTGCGAAGCTTCCCGCTTGTTAACATTTGTTTCAACCTCCGTTTACAATTCCGATGTTCCGTTAATGCACTATATATGTAATACACTAACTTACTTGCCGGAAAAAAACAAAAGGAGTGAGATATGTATAGAAAGAGAAGGCCAAATTGTTACTTTTGGGCAGTTAAGGGAGAGAAAAGAGAATAGAGAGAAGAGAGAAGAGAGATCGAAGGCACGTGCAGATAATTAATGGCTGATCAATTGCTCCGACAAGCGATCGAAACTGACGATATTACTGGTTTGGAACCATTGCTTAAAGAATACTTGTCACAAGATGGTGCAGATCTCTGGGAGAAGAATCCTCTACTTATGGCATTTCACGGAGGGAGCGTCAACTGTGCAAAGGAGATAGTCCGATTGAAACCGGAACTCGCTTGGCAGAAAAACCCGGATGGCTCCGGTGCTACTGTCATACACTTCATTTGTGGTGCTGCGACCGATGCTGCGATTGTGAAGGCTGTGGTGGAGGCTGATACTTATCGAATGATCTGTACGAACAGAGACAATCAATTTGCAACCCCTTTTCATACTGCGGCAATTAACGGCAAAACAGATGTTCTGAGTTTATTGGTTACTCTTTGTCCGCGGTGCATTGAGAATATGACTTCTCACCAAGAGACCGCTCTTCACCTCGCCTCAAAGAATAACCATTGTGACTCGTTTTTATTGCTGGTGGAAGAACTTGAGAGGCACGGCCGCATGGACCTTCTAAAACGCGAGGATAACGAGGGCAACACTGTTTTACATTATGCAACTCCCCGTAAACAAATACAGGTAGACTCTCTCTTCTGTCTATATATCTTTCTTTCTTTCTTTTTTGTATCATTTGTATATATATCTTGATCATAAAATTCATTCCAATTGGATGTGTGTATAACTGTGTGTGTATATATATAAAATTTCTGATCATCCATGAAGTTCATAGTTCCAAATAGAAAAACAAATTTGAAATCCCTCTTTATTTTATTTTATTTTTAGCATAACTAGGTATACATTCACATAAAAGGGTCATTAATTGGTTGACGTAATGACCTAAACTTGAATTAAAAAGTGTGAAATGGGAAACCATATAAGAGCTAGATCAATCATGTACATCAGTTTATCTCCTACATTTCCCTCTTAAAACGTAATATTAAACTTTGAACCATACTTGGGATTTTTCACAAGGATCCAAGAACCTCCTCCTTACAGCTAATATGTCACAGTATAACTAATTTGGAATCAATTTGATCGAAATAAAATGGGTTAATTTATTTACTGAAAATATATATATATATATAGATAAAAGGTTGACTGTTTCGCATATTATTTTCTGTCATACCAATTTGATGGCACCTCCTTGCATATAAAGAGAAGGTTCCTCTGACTTGAATATATTTTCTTCTTAATACAATATATACGTATATTCAGGTTGGATTTGGATTAACAGGTTTACTGATCCATATATATCTGACCCAATCACCTCTTACATGCGGGTGAGCTAGGTGTATGTAGGTCTGATGAATTACCAGTTAAATATGATGTAGATTCTAAAGGTGTTGCTGCCTGACAAGTCCACAAATGCTGTTCCTTTGGTGGAAGTAAACTCCAGAAATAAAGATGGATTCACGGCGTTGGACCTTCATTACCAAAATCCTGGTGATAGGAATGACAAGGATATCGGTGACATTCTTCATCAAGCTGGAGCCAAGGAGGGCAAATATTTGAATTCCAGCCGTGGAGAACAACCATCTTCTTCGCAGTCACTGCCACCCGGGGTTCCAGGGACATCGGAAGGCATGTCCTGGATGATGAAATTTGCGGCGATGGGGGTTTTCATTACAATTGCAGGGGCTGCATTTGCTAGTCTCCCCAATTTAAACAGCGTCTATTCATTACGATTACATAAGCAAACCTCAATGACCAGTGCTAAAGACCTGATAATGGCACCTATGCTACTGCCCAGTATCTTCGCCTACATGGTTTTCAACACGGCCACATTTATGGCGAGTATGATTGTGATACTGGTTATAATCTGCTCATTCAAATGGTCATTTTATTATAGAGCAATTTCCTTTTTCATTATGGGGGCATTTTCAGTTTCTTATGCTTTTCTAGCCAAAGAGGTCATGCCAAAATTTTGGATATCAGTTGCCTCCCACGAGATCTCAAGCTTCTGGTTCGTGTGGTTATACGATACCTTTCTAGCTTGCACTGTAGTTACAGTATGTCTTATGGGAAAACTGATTCATTATATATTTTTCAAGCTCTTGAAAAGGCGGTGGCGGGGGAGGGGTTGTCCAATAACCAGGATAAGAATCTGTGTGTAAGTGGCTAACATGAGAGAGAAAAAGATCATTTTGCTGTGCAAATTCTTTAGTTGTTTTTGAATAAAACTAGTTAGAATTTTATTCTGAGCGCATAAATGTTTATAACAGTGAGCCCTCTTAGAATGTTGTACTATCAGCTTGAAATGGCATACATGGTAAGACCAGTTTTGAAAGCAGGAAGTAGTCTTGCCTCCAATTGAGGAGCTCGATCAATTGTATCATCATAAGAGAACAATAAAAGTTCGTGTATATCTTGTTCTTCACCAATATTCAATTAATCAACCGAAACTTATTTATGCTTTCTGATACTGCTCTTGCACTCTAAGGCTTTTTATTATTATTATTTTTATTATTGATGGAATCGAAGTAGAAGAAAATAAACAGAGGGATAAAAAAAATTATGTTTGCCTTACAATTGAAGAAAGAAAAGAAACACAGAGGGATATTTTTAATCGTAAGGCAAACAAAAAAAAAAAAAAAAAAAAAAATTCACTGTAACTTCTAGTAAACATGTTGCTGAAGAACAAGATTTTTCATTATTTCATAAAAAGGCATTCGCTTGTTGATTAATTGATGAAATAAAAGAAACAGAGGGATTAGAAGGGATTGCTTATTCCTCAAATTGTATTTTCACGTGGAAGGATTTGGAGAGAAATACAATTTTTAAAATACCAAAAATAATCTTGAAAATGTAAAATGAAAAAAAATGTATTCTTTGGCAAAAGGTTACGATAGTAAACTTAATAAGAAGACAGATTTCTTTTTCCTTTTTTTTTAACCCTCTTCGAGACCAGAATAAAATCTATTGTTATCTACTACTTCCTCTCTCTTTCACCGTTACTTATCCAAATAAGTATTCAATTCTTTTCTTTTTGTATATTCTATTTATTCAAACCAAGTCGCCTATGCCAGTAGGTTTGTATTTTGGTTAATTAATTCCTCTGTTTCGGCGAAGCAGAGTTTATTTACAAGCACCCACTGCATCTGATAAGCCACGTTTCAGATTTCCTCTGTATTAAGAAGATAACCTAATTCTCTCGGTTGCACTTGGTGAGAGATGGGATATCTATATTACCTCCTGTCCAAGTGTGTTTGCGGATATTGCTTCCAACTTTTCTCGTATCCACACGTTGGTTACCGTACCTTACCAATTTGGATTGTATTATATTATAGGGCTAATTTCATAAAACTTCTACTATTTTCAAATTTTAATTATAAACTCTTAACTTATTTCAAAAAACTCTCTATACTTTAAAAAGTTATTACATTACCCCAATATCTTACATTACCCCAATATCAGAATCCAACCAGTTAACCGGACTCCCCAATATCAGAGTCCAACCAGTTAACCGGACTGTGAAATGTCAAATATACACTTTTTAAAAGTAATGATACAAATTTCAAATATACACTATATTTTGGTAGTTCTAACATATTACTACCACACTTTCTGAAATGTCAAATTTGGAAGTATTGAGAGTTTTATGAAATTTTGGGGCATCTGGGTCTCTTTTTGGTATTTTTCTTCTGTCTCTCTAAATTTCTAGATATAGAAAGGAGGGCTGGGGCTGTTTAGATCTGGTATTAAATGTCATATGGGCACAGTAGTAATTTCATGCTGGATATATTTTGAATGACAAATGCATTAAAATAACATTGACAAAAGAGTAATTTCATTGTTCCGAAATTACCCAAAAATTAAATATACACGCTTAGTATGAATTATAGTTTAAAATTAGGGATAACTTAATAAAGCGGAATTGGAAGTTTGTTCTACATTCTGCTTTTGGAAGGGGCAGACAGAGGGTTGGCTCCCACAGAATTATAAATTATTGAACTATGTATACAGAAAATGCTGATTATTGTCATTATTATACATGCAGCGCAAAAGCTTTACATCTCGAGGGATAGACGGAGGGAAGCATGAAATAAGAAGCATAAATTTTCTAATCAAAGGGGTCAATTCTTGGGTCGTGCTCGCTTGCCATTGCCATCCCTGTACAGAGGCATGTAGGGCACATAACCTGGAAAATGGAAGGGTGTTTCATATGTCAAGAAACTAATTCATCAAACTGAACATTTCCAGATCAAAAGATGGGAACTCACATGCATCATATTTAAAAAAGATCTTTTAGAAAATTCAAAATAAAAAACAAATGGCATCGTATGTTACAATTGTTTGTAGAACTTTCAGAGGAACTAGTGCTATTTACCATTACAATACTAGATACCAACCATCGGATTAGATTCTTGGGCAATTTGCAAGACCACCAAACCCCACCCCCCCCCCCCCCCCCAAAAAAAAAGATTTGCTTAAAAGGGAGGTAGATACAATTTAGGCCACTTTTGGACAATAACACCCCCCAAATTTGCAAACTTGAACAATGACACCCCATTTTTAAAAAACGGAGCTAAACACAACATTAAGTGACATGAAATGTCTAATATGCTCTAAGATATATATTTTAATCCTCACCTAAAATGACCAAACTACCCCCTCATCTCATCTCTCTTTCATTCCTCGGACACAACTTTACTCTCATCTCTCTCTTTCAACAGCTCTCAAAACCCATAAGAGAAATTTGAGGAACACAGCAACCACGGGACGGCAATATGGATCGGCCGTGGAGAGCTCGGCCGGTAGCAAAGGGGGAGCTCGGCGATGTGGATTTCTGTGATGAGTTCGGCTGTGGAATGAGGACTGAACTTAGCTGCGATGGGGTGGGCAATGAACTTCAGAACGGCCGCCAGCGAGCAAGGGAAACCCAGTTTCTGCAACCCATTTTCTTCTCTCTTTTCCTACAATAAGCGAGTGTTTATATATATGTATCAACAGCAAGCCATTGTTGCACGATTCAGGCTTCATCCAAGCTTGCTGGTTGTTCCTCTCACCGCCAAGCTTCTCCTTGCTCGCCGGGAGATCCCGTTGAGCCGCCTTGCAAACCCACCATCCACCTTGTCTCTGCTGCGAACCGTCCTTGTCACCACCGCCCGCCAATGCAGTGCCGCAAGCCCACTGCGATTCAACCACATCCGAGCACTGCCGATGTTCATCCACAACCCATCTTGCCCGCTGTTCTGTCAATTACCGGCATGCACAAGCCGTCGTCCCTCGTCGGTTTATTCTGCCGGTCTGTCCAGCCGAGCCTGTAGCAAGAGGGGAGCTCGGCGATGTGGATTTCTGTGATGAATTCGGCTGTGGAATGTGGGCTGAACGCAGCCGCGATGGGGTGGGCAGAGAGCTTCGGAACGGCTGCCAGCAAGTAAGGGGGAAGCTCGGATGAGATGGGCAACTGGCTGCAGAGAGCACGAATGGCGGATCAAATGGTGGACTAAACAGTGGGCAAGGCGTTAACCAAAGACGATTCGCGGTAAAGAGGAATAGCCGGTGGAGACAGGCTGGTTCGGCGGTGATACGGCCGGGTTCAATGGCTGACTAGTTCGAGTTGGACTCGGTCAGGTTCAATGGCTGCCTCTACTTCTGTATGTATGTATATATGTATATATAGATTATATGTGTGTAATTTTGAGGTGTTGGGTTTATGTGACTTTGTGTGATGGTGGTGGAACGGGGAAGAAGATGGTGGTTGTAGAGATTGCAGTGGTGGTTAGTGGTGGTTATTGAGGTTGCGGTGGTGGTGCCAGTGAGTAGTGGTTGTGTATATTGGCTGAGGCTGCTTTGGTCATTTTACGTGGTCAAAGAATAAATACGTACTTTCATCATGTTCGGGGTGTCATTATTCAAGTTTGCAAACCTGAGAGGTGTCATTGTCCAAAAAATAGCTTAAGTTGTATCTACCTAACTTTTATGCAAACCGGAGTCAATGCAATTTACCCTAGAATCTTTTATTGATCAAACTCCGACCCAACACCAAGGGCTTCTTAACCAAATTTATTAGTTCAATTTCCTAACAATACCACCATCTTGTCAAATAATTTTTAACCAAGAAAGTCTTCCACATTGGTTGTATCATGCAATTGTTTCAACCACATATATATATGAAACATATACCTAGCAGTCAATGGCAGGAAGTAGGAAATTGCTCCAGTATGATATGATAAGCAAAAATTATATATAGATTTCAAAGTTTTTTGGTTACTAACCTTTCCCGATCCGGAGCAGTTTGAACACCTCTCTGTTTTAGGTGGTGATAGAGGCTGATCTCCACCATTAACTGTCGCTACTGGTTCAATAAGAACAAGTGCTCCTGTGCTTGAACAGCGAGCACAAGCAAGATATCCTGCATCAATCAGCTAATAATTAAATGCCCCATCTGCACCCACTTGGCCAAAACTATGCTAGTCAACTATAACATTAATTAATCATTTTCACATATGTGATCAAATAAAATAAAATGAAAAATACTTAATGATCAGAAAAGCATAATTAGACAATGTTTAATACTTCGATTACAGGAAAAATTGGAAAGGGGACATTCCCTAGCTTGAGGAGTTAAGGACAGCAGGAAAACCAAAAAGTAGATCTTAAGAGAATATTCAGTTGGCAGTAAGATGAGAGAAAAGTAGTAAACACTTTTAAACAACCATTCCAACTCCAAATGATTCTATGACTACAAAATATCTCCTCTGCTCCATCTTCTCAGCAATGAAATGAACCATAAAGGTCTATTCAAAAAATTTCACAGGGAAGAGTCGAACAGAGATTTCTACTGGAGCTATAGTCAAAATTTTCTATAAGGATACTGGACCAATCAAGCAGGGACAGAATTGGGAAATCTAGCAGGTATAGTCGCAATGATTGAATAAACCAGAGCAATCATCTAAATTTTTTGTTTCTTCCAATACTAATTATTATAAACAAAAGCAACCATTTCAGATGAAGCATTAAAAGCTACAGTGAGAAATGAAAAACTGGGAATCAGAAAATAGAATGCGTTTCAAAATACATACCAGTCCCAAGACAATATTTGCATCTTTTATGCTCCTGCAGCTTTACATTGTTTATTTCAACTACCATCAAGGCTGAAATCACCCCAACTGCTCCTCCAGAAAATGACGCCACTATAGGATCGACCTCACTGTATTGTTCAATAAAAAGACTCAAGCGCTTCAACAACAGGTTTGTCATCATTTAGATGGTTTGCATTGAAGATGCTTATATCATAGAAGTTACATCAGAGATTTCATGTTTATACGTCTGAAACTTCCTGAGCCCCAAAAACATCATCCACACTCATGTTGTTTATCATCGCAAGGACAAACCAAAATGTATAGAACTTTGATTCTGGACTTTTTACCTATATAATTATCACGTCCTTACCCACTCCCTCAAATCATAAAGAAGGAAAAGAACAAGGTAGGGGGCTTTCAGGAAATTAAGTCTTGATTCCAAGGCAGACCCTGGACAACATGTCAAAACGCACCAAATGTAAAGTGGGAAACACTCGATGTTGTTAGGTGCTGCATCTTCAAGATATCATTTGGCACCGAAACATGTGTAGAATATATTCCACAGAGAACTCTTAAATCTTCATCAAAGAAAGTAGCAAGTATCGCTATTTCTTTCCCCAACATACAAGCAGTCTGATAAGCTCGTCCACAGATAATTATCTCCCACAACCATCGGGATGAAAATATATCAAATAACATTGTTTAGAAAGGACACATCCACGTATCATTGCAATGACATATATATGTGTGTGTGTGTGTGTGTGTGTGTGTGTGTGTGTGTGTGTGTGTGTGTGTGTATATATTTATGCATAAGGATAACTCTGAGCATTTGTACAAGTAGGAGGGAAAGGAGAGAGAACCTTTCTTTGTGTTTGGATAAGTAAGGATGAAAGGGTTCTAGGACAACAGTGGAAAGGGGGGAAAAAGTAAAAATGATATGTTTTAGTTTGTCAGTAGGGGCAAAGCAGGAATTCACTTGTTATAAAAGAATGCGCAAAGCAGTTAATCACTAATTCTCACATCACTTCCTCCGAAATCCTCCCACTTTTGGGAGGAGAGTGTAAATACCATGCAAAGGGTTAGGCTGTTTGTCCTCTCTGCTATTCCTCACATTTCCCTCCCTCCATCTGAGCATAGTGTTAAACAAGGATGGAACTTCAGTTCAACAAAAGTAGAAAGATATGAGTGTACTATGCCATCAGAAAACTTAAGTTTCTCAAAATTAAATAAGGTAAACAAGCTAACCATGGATACACTTCCATTCCCATTAGAAACACAAGTACTTTTAGTTGAAGGGCGAATTTGGGATCTGAATCCCATTCACAGATGAATTTAGATTACATTGCCTTCACTGACATATGTCATAGATGATCTTTTATGGAATCTCTTTAAATTGCTCCAAATGCGCAAAACAACCACCACCATGTGATGATTTGTAGTGCAGCGAAGGACATGATAACCATCTTCCTCATAGTTTTTTTGAGAAATTGTTACCTAACTAACCAGGTAGTCTAATCCAATGCAGATCATAGAGCCATTTCAAATTCATCAATGGGAACAAGAAATTGTCGAGATCAGAACAAGCAAATCATTAAAATTTTAGTACAAAAAATAATTAGACTCCATATGATTGTACCTCAACTGCAATGGCAGATGCATGTTACGGATAAAGTCTTCATATGATGTGCCTCCCAGTCCCAACTTAAGCTCTAACTGATATAAGCAACGATTAGGGAAAATTTGGATTAGGAAGTAAATAAGTAATGTCTCCATCATAAAGAATAATACATTCGATCAACAGATAAAGAATGCCACATATGAAGAGCACTATTCAGTCAATTTCTCTTTTGCAGCATGGCTTCTTTCCAGATAAGATGTTTATAGAATAATTCTTTCTATGTTTATAAAAAATATTCAAATTATATGCCATCACTGGAAAGTTTGTAGTTGGTGAAATCTAATTCTGCTTCAAAATTTCAAATTGATCATGAGCAAGACTATCAATGAGCAAATCAACAATTTAAACTTGACAAATAAAGCATACTATATAACCATAATTTTTCCTCCCCTTACCCCCACCCCCCCTTCCTCACGGAATTGTTTGCACCCAAGAGGAGTCAAACCTTAGGCCTGATGCTTCCTAAGGCACCACCAACCCCTTAGGTTTCCTATAGAACCATATTTCATTATATGCAGTAGCGAGTGAGTCTCATTCAATTACAACACCAAAGATCATCAACACTATAATATTTGGAGAAGAAGAAGAAGAAAATTAAAGAAGAAGGAGAAAGTTAATGTTCTCAACTTATTCACTAACCTATTTCCCTGATTCAAATTGCAATTCACAAGTTGAAGAAAACTTACAGCAGGTGCTACAAGACCACCAAAAAGGATAATCCCAGCAATGAGAGAAAAACAAGTGGCATAATATTGCTTAAGATTAGCTGAACTCTGCATGAAACATGTTGCTTAGTCATCACTTAAAGAATCTCTCAATAGCGGGGAAATAAGAATTCCTGAATAAGTTAATCTATCGAAAGACGAATAAAATAAAATGGTTGGGTTAAATAACAGATTATGAGATTAAGAAGTTGTTGTAAGAGTATTTTAGTAGAGGCAAAAATCTTACCAGTGGAGGCAAAAAAGGAATAAATGATGGGAAGTTAGGAAGTTCATTTTCTTGCTCTTCCGTCAATATTCCAAGTTCAGCACTTCTGATTCTTTGTTGTATCCTCAGCCTGCGAACCTATAAAAAAATTTATGATACAAGTATCAGATGCAAATATAGTAAAATGATTTGCAAATGATGCCATCTCATACTTGCTTTGAAATTTGAAAGCATGACTTGTGGGAGTTCAACATTACATAAGCCATATTGACAATTTTAATAAGCCGTACTGACAAGTGTTCAAAAAATAGTCATATTGACAATTTTAATAAGCCGAGGTATCAAAACTGTGCCCAAAAAAGTTGCATTTCTTGATCTAGGGTCATGAAAGAGAGGGGAAATCAAGGGAAGTGCACCCAGGGTTCTTGAGCCATATAACTTAAGGAATGTAATTCTATATCATTCCATAGCAGTTCTTTTTAGCAACAGTGCTATAAATACCATGAAGCTCCATTTGGAGTCAAGCTGCCAGTTATCCCTCCTTACTAGTTATCCAGAAGGTAGGGGCGGGTATGCAGATACAGTAATCTTGACTTTTCTCTATGACTTTTTCTTGGGCAGCTCAAGCCTCAATGGCCACATCAAACTTTCCACTTCCTAATGGAAAAGATATATGAGACTTGGCGAAAGAGGATAAAAATATATATAGATGGGAATGAGAATCTACTTTTGACCATGAGCTATATTCTTGTTTCCTCAATAACATCATTTGCTGCATGGGACAACTAGAATCAACTGGAATATAAATGGAAAGTAGATGTGTGGTGATTAACTGTTTTGCTTTTTTCAATCAAGTCTTATATTTGCTTTTGGCATTTCCATTAGAGCCGACAGTTCGAAACCTTTTTTTTATTTTTATTTTTATTTTTCAAATAATCTCTGGTTCAATTGGTACTTGCAGTTCCTCGTAAATTGTGGGTTAGTAACCTAATACTTGTTCAAAGACACATAAAGGATAAAAGGTTTTTGATCTAAGTGACAACGGTGCAAGGATAAATACTATCTTAAACAAAGTATTACCTTCAAAACTCACCTCCTCCATATGCAAAAAGATCTTGTTTCGGCGACTTCGAACATTATCTTGAATTTCTAGCAGTTCCATTTTAGCAAAATCCTGAACAGTTTCAGGTCCTTCAATGATACAGAATCTGCACCACAAAGCATGAATGAGTCTTTTATTAGACCATCGTATTTATTTTAGTCATTAGTGAGGTTGTTTAGTTGCCGATTATCATATATACAAGTAGGATCACTAAGTGCACACAAAAATCTAGTTTGTTCCCAGGATTCCCAAACAAGATTATAACAGATACAAATTGGCCGCATTATGATTGTCTTGCAAACATTTCCATTAATCCATTTCTTCTTAATCATTACAAACTTTTGGCTTAAAAATATTGCAAACACGATCCATGAGATTGACTGGGAAAAAAACCACACACATTAAGAAATGTAAATAGTTAAAGCTCCAAACATTCCTCATTAAATACATGATATCCAGATACGAAGATGCTATGCACTGCCTTCAATGAGATATGATGAATCAAAATCCTCTACATTAACAATTCCCCGCTGCTCCCTGCGATTGGTGAATTTCACCTCTTTCAAAGGTGAATTTCACTACTACACACAAATTTCACCATTATAGCAGTGAAATTCACCAACTGCACAAAACTGCGAGAAATAATTAGGGATTCAGATTCAGTACCCCCAATTCAATTATTACTCATTTTTCTTAATCAACGTAGGCATACCTCATAACCGGGTTGATTTACATGTTTATAGTCATAAATTCAGTATATAAAGATCAAAATTAAATGCATAATTCACAAAGAACCTTCTATTATAAATTTGATAATCCGCAATTTAGCCAAGAACAAGTTAGGAAACATAGAACGTCTTAGGAAATGAATTCAATATAATTGATCATTCGAGGTAAACAAACAACCAGAAACCACAAAATATGCAAGCTGATAATTCAAAACAGAAACGAATAGCAAAGAAACACTAAGAGTTTTGCTTAATATATGAAAGGGTATACATGAATAGAGCTGGTGATTAGAGAATACCCAGTAGCACTTTGATCAGTTGAATCAGAATCAATGGAAGACGCAAAAGAGGAAGCATCGGGCTCCGACGCCATGGGTCGCCATTTCAGGCCCGATTCGAGCTTTTTTTGAAGAACTCTAGAGTTAGAGGGTGTGTAATTGTGACGAAACAAAGGCGTTACGGAGTACGAACCTGCTAAAAGTCGACCCGAACAAAGCATCGCTAAATTCCCTCTCTTCTCTCTCTCACCAAAGGTGTGCTCTTTCTCTCAATACAAACGCACGGATATGAAGACGAGAGGGTATCGTGTTCCTAATTTTTGTTGTTTTCTGTAAAAGGGTTGGGAGAAGAAGGTGGTGGTGGGTGGTGGTGTATTTAAATGTGATGGCGATTTTAATGTAATTGAATTTTGAGTGGAGTCATTTGGCTTTGACGCCAACGCACGACGGAAAATACAATAAATTTGTATCGTGTTTCGGTGCAGTGAGAGTTCCTAATTTTTGTTGTTTTCTGTAAAAGGGTTGGGAGAAGATGGCGATTGTGGGTGGTGGTGTTTTTAAATGTGATGGTGATTTTAATGTAATGGAATTTTGAGTGGAGTCATTTGGTTTTGACGCCAGCGCACAACGGGAAATACAATAAATTTGTTCTGATAGGTCATAGGCAACATTTATTTATATATATTTTAACTTAAAAAAAACATTTATATATATATATATATATATATATTTGTTTCTTGACCCGTTAAAATTTAAAGGGTAAATTACACAAATTACCCTTAAAGTTTTTATATTATGCATATAGATAAAAGTTATAGCAATTTATAAAAAAGTCCATATAGATCGTTTGACCACAAAAAATTAATATAATTTTTGACTTTAAAATTAAAATATTTATTTTTAATTAATAAAAAATAAAAAAATATTATGTATCGATGAGTTTCAGTTTTACCCCTAAAAAAGTGGTACACCCCCGTCAGCTTTTTTTTTTTTCTTTTCCTTTTTCTTTTTCTTTTTTTTTTTTTTTTTTTTTTTTTGGATTTCAAGTCTCCTTACTCTCTTTCTCTCTCTCTTTCTCACCTCTCTGTCACGGGCTTAGAGTTTTAGCACCACTCTAGTTGTTCCCGTGCGGCACAAATGTAATACCCCGATAATTTTAAAAGATTTATTAATTATGATTAATTATTTTATTTTATTTTTCAATGATTTATTTTATTTTATTGAGTGCTAGATTAATTATTTTATTTTAATTAAGTTATATTTCGTGATTATGTATGATGATTGATTGTTTGTGTGGTTGATTATTGATTGAATTATTGGTGTGTTGATTTTATTGGTATTATATGACTTAGTTGTAAATTCTTGTTTGTTTATGTGCTTCATGTAATTAGTTATTTTAATTTCTGTATTTAATTAATTATCTTATTTATTTAAATTAATTGGATTGGGCTTAAGGAAAGTTGGACCAAAAGATGTGGTCTTGGGCTTGTATGAAACCTTATTGGGTTAATTAATGAAGGTCCGTGGTTATTTAATTATTTAAATGATCACTTTTGTATCAATTATATATATATATATATATATATAATTATATATAAATATAATTAATTAATAATTGTTATGGAAAGATATATATATAGATATATATTTATTGATATTTATAAGTATATATGATTTAATTAACTAATGAGTTAATTATGGAAGGAATATATATTTATATATATATATATATGTTTATAGATATAAATTATTTAAAGATTATTATTTTAATTCATAATACTAGTTGGAATAGGATTTGGAATTTAAGGTGTATAAAAATACACATAAGGCTTTAGGGTTAAAGGTTTTACACGTTAGAAAAATAAAACAGACAGAGAGAGAGGAAGAAGAAGGGCTGACAAGGAGGAGGTCGGATCTGAAAAGGAGGACGTCGGAATTGGAAGAGATAATTAAAGCTTAAAGCGTCGGTTTCGTTTCGAAACCTTCAGGCGAGTTTTCTCTAACTTTCCTCTTAGAACTCATAAGGATTTCACCTTGAGTATCAAGGCTTTAATTAAATTTATTTGTTTAAAAATTATGGTTAGATCGGAATAATTAAAAAGTATAAACTATTATATTTGATTTTTAGATTATTGGATTTTAATTGATATATATAGGTGTTATGTATATTTTAAAATCAATCTATAGGTGGACCCAAGAGAGTTAATTATGGTTTCTTTATTTTCTAGAATTGTTCTGTAATTTTCTGGAATTTTTCCGATATTTTTAGGAATTTATTAGGATTTATTTTCCTATTATTTGTTAGGAAAATAATTATATATATATATATATATATATATACTAGGTAACTGGCTGGCGCATGTGGAGCGGCGGCACAATAAAGAATTGATCCAGTGCAGCGCGGTGTAGGATAATAGGGTGTATACGCCAATTAGGGCCATTTGATTAATTAAACTTATGTGAATTGATATGGTGCATCGCGGCGCATAAAAGTTTGGTGCGCAGGTGTATCTGGACCATAGAAGTGGTCTGGTCAACTATGGGATTATTTGGTGTATTGCAGACCATGAGAAGATGGTGCACTCGCTGATCTGGACCTTAGATCTATTATAGTTAATAGAAAATAATCTAGTGTGAACGTGTTCATTTGTGCACTCATTTATGACCATTGGATGCGGCATAAAGGAAGTGATGGCTTCAGTGTGGTGAGCTCACGGTAGCTGAAAGAGCTTAGCCAATACCAGCACACAAGGAGGCTTGAATCCAGCGCGTGCAAGTGCATAGTAAGCACGTGGGCGCGCGTGGGAAACTATGTTGGCCTAATTCGACACTAGAAATTAAAACGGTCATAACTTAGTCATTTTAAATCGAAATTGGGTCATTCTTGAGCTCAAATTCAAGGATTTTTCGTCTTCTTTCCAATGGTACCAATTTCATTATCAGATTCCCATCCTACTAGGAGATATTTATGTTTTAGTGAGAAAGTGTCGGAAAACTATTTAAACCAATATGGAGTATTTAAAGGAAACTATTTCTGACATATTTAGTTGCACTAATTTGTGTAAATATAATAAATTAATAATTTGTTATGGAAGGAAGTGTATATATATATATATGTATGTATGTATGTATATTGATTTTAAATAATCAATGATTATTAAAGAAGGTATTAAACACATATATACATTAAATAACATATGTGTAGGTATATATATATATAAATCATTTAAGATGATTAATATTATCATTCTTATTTGGCATATCTTAATAGGCTGGTTGTTAAATTAATGATATGCGTATAATATGCATGTGATGGCTATGTATGATTTAGCGTATTGTTAATTTTAAAGTTAATTCATGGTTAAAGTGTGGGCATGGATGAATTGTCAAATGATTAAATATATTACCTAAATATTTGTATGAATAGAATACATATATGGAAAGCATGGATGAATTGCTAATTAAATGTATGAATAAATATACCTGTGGAGGCATGGTTGAATTGCCAATGTATAAATATACATACACGGAGGCATGGTTGAATTGCCAATGTATAAATAAATATACTTATGGAGGCATGGTTGAATTGCCAATATATAAATAAAAATATTTACAATGGCATGGTTGATTTGCCAAAGCATAATTACGTTGTTATGTGTTAGATGATTAAAATATCATCTATGGTTGTTGTATGTATGGATTGGATTAGGGTTAGATATTCTTAAATGAGAATAGTTTAGTACTTACTGGTTAGTGTATTATTTTACATTAATAAAATAATATTGGGGAAGACGTGGATGATTTGTCAAAACTTGGATTTTGGATATGTGATTTAAACAATTAAAATCATTATCGGGTTGGGATTAAATAGAGTATTTCTTTTATTATAATTTGTTGTTTAAATGATTAAACAACTGACTAGGATGGGATTAAGGTCAAAGGAGTTTTTATAAAATGAAATGGTAGATTGGTCTAGGTATGAATATTATTTTAATAATTATTTAATAGGTATGGAAATTTAATAAACCTATTAATGGATGTGATTAGTATAGTATATATAATTATATATAGACATGTATATCGTGCTTTATTAAAGTTAAAACTTTATTAGGTTTGGTTTTGATCAGAGATGATCTGCTTATTGGTTTTCAGAGGCCTGGTAGAGTGAACTTGCTCGTAGGGTTTAACCCACGATTTATTTTTCAGGTTATTAGAGGTTCCAGTCTCGAGGTTGAGGATCCGCAGCTGGGAGACTGTCATTCGTCTATTCATCTTGTGTACTTTTAAATAGTATTGGATTATTGGATAATGTTTTAAGGGGTCCTTGAGTTATGGGATTTCCGAATTGTAATTGTTGGAGAATCATTAAGTAATATTTATTTATTAGTTTTCTTCAGCGGTTTATTTATTCTTTATTATTCATCTTTGTATTCTGTGCTTGTTAAATACTTAAATTGTTTTGATATCCCTTGATTTTGTGCGCGGACTTGATCAATCCGTGTTCCAAAATTAGGGGGTATCACAACAAAGACGTTGCTCCCACTCTCGCAAGTACTTGGTCAGCCTAATTCCCGTGCACACCTTAGCCAACACACTCCCCTCGTGCGCTTACTAGTGTTGTAGTTGCACTCGCCCTCTCCTCACTTGGCTTGCACACTCACACACACTAAGACACTTAAGTTGGCAAGGAAAGAAAACTTATATTACTTCAAAGAATGCTTTGTACAAGGCTAGCACTCAAGCTCTCTACAAGGCTCTCAGGACTCACTCTAGGACTTGTTCCCTGCAAAATGAAGTCCTACCTCTATTTATAGGCATCCCCATCCCTAATGGACGGCTAGGATGCATTCTAACCAACGGTGGAGATTGATTATCTAGAATCTTCTCCCACCTTCTTCACACTTCCATACTTATCTACTAGTATCTACAACATTCTAGAATTCTCCATACTACTCCACACAACTCTGGAGAACTCTAGAACCTTCCACACACTTCTACACATTTCTACACATATCTAGAATCTTCCACATAACTCTAGACTATTCCGGAAGACTCTAGAAACTCCACTTGCCATGCAGTTGCCATGCAGCGTCCTCCTCAGCGTCTGCGTGTCGCCTGCGTGGCACAACCTCCATAGGCGGGGCGTGACATTCTCCCCCACCCATTTCCGTGACGCCCTCGTCACGGTTTCTTCAGCTGACCCAGCCTCTCGCAGGTCATCAGCACTTGCGCATATGTCCTTGGCCCAAACGTACGAGCGTCCTTCGGGAGATGTGAAGTCCTCACGAGCTCCATCGTGTTGACTGCCACCTCTGGACTCTCCTTCCTGCCCACGAGCGGCACCATGCATGCGGCCTTGCCTTCCTCGCCTCCAAGTATCATCAACGCACCAAGGCATGGTAGTGGCGCGGCGTTGTTCCTGTCCATGAACTCCAGCCCCAGCACCATGTCATGGTAGTCCATCTCCGCAACTTGGAAGTCGGCCTTGCCCTTCCATCCTTGCAAGCATAGCTCCACCTCTTTGCACACTCTACTC